GTTGCTGCTCTCCAAGCTGCCAGGTTGGCTGCATGCATGCTGTGGCTGCACGCATCACTTATCAACACTTTTTGGCCACATCAGCCTAAAAAGGCGATTGCTGATAATGTCAGTTTTCCTCTCATTGGTGCCAATACAATACAGACTGATGTACTGGTGCACCTCTACTTGGAATGCTTGGGATTTTAGCCTGAGGTGCTAATTTAGCTGAGATCTAAACTAAACCCTGCAAATGGCCCCTATGAAGGTGCTCCTGCAGATAAGCACACTGCAAACTATTAATCACTCCATTTGAGAACCTAGAAGGCAGACTGCATGAAAAAGGCATTTTTTTTTTTTCTCCTAAGAACTGTCTGCTCTAAATTGTCCTAGGGGTGAGGACAGCCATCAGCTCTTTGACTTACTGCTGACTGAACTACCCTATTTATATAGGAGAGCTCTAAGAGTTTCTTATTTATATGCACAGTATATTAAGTTCCTTAAACAACTTTGTGATATCTATAGATAACTAAATGTGTTTCTTTTGTCTGATAACCTGGACCCGACCCAATGCCACTTTAAAGTCAATATTATTTCCAATTGGGTCAGGATGTGTGTAGCAGTAGCAGGCTAGTATGCTACTGGTTTACAGTGGCTTCAGCCACTGTAAGCTGGGTTTGTGACATCCTATCAAAGGGAGGATGTTCCATCAAAAAGAAGCCATAGAATCTCTGCTTCAAGAAGGGTCAGCATTCCCTTAAACGTGGACAATACTGACAAAGAGGGGATCAGGATGGATCTTTTCAATGCATTCCCGCATCAGCCTTTGTTGATAAAATTTCAAGTGGAACATGCAGCTTCTCTTCTTTATACAACATAAAATTTTGATGAAGGAAGGTGACAAACTACCAAGGCAGTGGACAAGCAGAGATTCACTTTCAGGGCTTTGTTTGTACAGAGAGGTGTAACTTAAACTATGTTTCCTCAGCCAACGTCCATCTAGGCCAGGGGTGGGCAAAATGTGGCCCACAGGCTGGATGCGGCCCACCAAGCCATTCTATCTGGCCAGCGGGGCCCCTAAAAAAATGTAGAAAATTAATATTAATCTGCCCTGGGCTGCCTATCATGCAGCCCTTGATGGCTTGCCAAAACTCAGTAAGTGGCCTTTTGCTCAAAATAATTGTCCGCCCCTGATCTAGGCTGATGTGTATATATTTAAAGGCATGCATTCCTAGCTGCTATTAAAAACAAAAGGCCTTACCTCTCTATTTAGTCGCTTCAGGAGCTGCTAGGTGTTAGCTATCCTCTGTCTGGTTTTTGAATCAGCCATTCAAACATCCTCACCTCTTAGTATTTATTATGAAACCATTCCATTTCAATGCTCTTGATAGAGGAAATCGGGCAAATGTTCAAGAGCAGTGTGACGCCTACTCCCAAATCAAGCTGCATTTACTATCATTCCTCAACAAGAGTCAGTATTTCACTAAGAACCAATGCTGCCCTATGGAACATCAGCTTTGTTGTACAACTTGTGAGATGAAAACAACGCTCAGGGTCTCTCTAATTTTAGGGTCACATCCTGTGAGGTGCCAAGCTTTCTGACTACTGCTGAGTTTCATGAAATGTTTCTGAATTACATTAAGTCGCAGGGAACATTACGCTCCATCTTTGTTTTGTTCCATTTTGTTTGCTTTTATAACCAGCAGAGGCATAGCAGGGCAGGTCCATGCCTGGGGCAGCCAGTGACACATGGGGCACTACCACCTCTGATTGTGGCAGCGTAGTCAGCTGTCACTGAAGTGGCAGCTGCTTTTGCATCCCACAATAAGGCAAGGGATTGCCTCCCCCCAGTATGTTACTGATAACCAGATTCCTATTCAAACTGTAACATTCTTGATTGCATTACTGCATTTTATTTTCTGACGGTTCACACAACTCATGGCATGGGAAGATTCACTTTCTGGGAAGTTTAAAAACAGCGAAACTCCAGTTCTGTTCAGTTTCCCCTCCTCCAGGTCAGTTTTAACAAATTAAGGAAGAACATCACAGGTTATTGTGAGGTCTTCCATTTTTTCAGCAAGCTGCTGACTCTAAATAATCACTACTGGAGCAGCTTCTACTTTCCTTTTGAAGCTCGCCACTAAAGTCACAGTTACATGGAGCAAGGAACCTGGGATCTATTTGCAATCCCTTAGAGGGTGGCAGTTAAGGGGTTTCACACAGAGCCCGACCACAACTTTACTTATTAAACTGCAAAAAATAATTTTTAACAATCTACTTACTTCGCAAGGCTTGGACTGGGAAAGAGCTGCTGCTACCAGCAGGGGGCAGCGAACATTTCTGGCAGACACACTCTTTCCCATTGAAAGTCACCCGGTCACCAGGAGGAAAAGGCAGCCTGTTATAGGAGAAATAAAAACATTACAGCAAATCTACTCATCCTCAGCGAGCTACAATATCCCTTCCCATGGAAAAAAAAATTATTATTGTTTGGATATTTTGCCTAGTTTTCCTTCATATATGGAAATCCAAGACTTGTTAATGACTCAAAGTCTAAAATATCAAAGGCAGTATCAAATAGGCAACTTCAAATGCAGAAATCAAAGCTACTCAGAAAAAGATTACTGAAGACAGGAGAAAGATACGCAAAAGCCAGGGCAAAAACCAGTGTAGCAACAGGGATGGCTGATGGCTATCAAGCTCACTCTTGGAATTAAAATTTAGCTGGAATAATTTATTTTTAATGAATAAAGACAAGTATAATTGATTTTTATAGTATCTCATTCATTTTGTTAAAATGTTAAATGAGTTTATGAAAAAACTTTTTGAAACAATTTAATCCAGACCAGCACTTGATCCTGTCAGCTGTGATAATATCAAAGCTATTTTTGAATGCATTTGTTCAGAAATAAAATGGATGAGAGTGTCCCTGGGGACAAATATACCCTAGTGATAAAAATGGATGCAACTAAAGTTGCTTGTTCTACTGAACTACAGCTCCTTCCTTCTATTAGCTTCCTCACAACAAAAGACTCGCCTTACTAGATTTGTTGCTCATGCACAGAAAATGCAGAGGTTGGTTTGGAAAGGAGAAGCTGGACAAATCACTTTACAGTGCAGTGGAGGATAGAATGGTTTATAATCACATCTCAGTCTGGGTTAAATTCATACCCACACAAGCCTATGTACTACTAAATCCAATATAATCCACCAAACTATTGTTACCTGTCAGCTTTGTGTTCCTGAGGGATCCCTGGCACCCAGCTCGCTGGACTTACAAAGGACTTTTTCTATTCCCCTCTGCCCACACACACACACACACACCTCATCTAACCAGAACTAAGCAGAAGAAAAGTTCAATAGGCATCTCGGGCCGTACATTCCGTGGTCCCAGTATGGGAGGCCTATTTAAACTTGATTGACTAAAACTTGGTTGCCGGGTTAGGGAATGCTGAGGCAGGAGACGGAGTCAGAGTGGGTATGGGCAACATTTGAATAAGGGTTAAGGGTTCATCACAACATCCAGCCTGTTGGAGTCCTGACCACATATGCTGTCATATTTTTCCTGGGATGACTGGTGGAAGTCCTCCCCACAAAGTTTATGAACACTCCAAGTAATCCCCTAAGTATGGTAAAAGACTACAGTAAGATCTGAAAGTCATGCTAAACTGAGGCTTATTCACAACAGGTAAAATACAAAACACTGAGGCTGACTTCACTGTGCAAGCATAGCTAGGCCTGGTTGCCAGTCAGTTTCTTGAGATGTTCCAAACCAGATGGCTCCTTGTCACTGAAAAAGGTAATTCACTTAAATTGAAACTGTTTATATAACAGGATTTTCCCTGTCAATTATGGCTTAGACCCCTCTTGGTTTACACAAATAAAAGAATGCTTTGAAAAGGCTGGACTAAGGGTATAAGAAAGATTTAAAGCAGCAAAAAGTGTGCTTCAGGAGGGAGAAATCTCTCTGACACCATCCACTATTGTTCTCGAGAAGCTGGGATAAACAGATCGTCTCTTTTGGTCGCCTGTTTAACCTTCAACGATTGTGCTAGGAACTTTGCCTGTCAAAAACACCCAAGTGCCTTGGAACTATGAGTTCCCAGCTCTCACGCTCTCTTTCTCTTTCTTCTTCTTTCTCTCTCTCTCTCTTTCATTTTAACAACATGAATCAGACACTATGAAATCAATTATACTTGTCTGTATTCATTAAAAAGAAATTATCCCAGCTACATTTAATTTTTTTCTCTCTCGGCATAGCTTTTTGAACCTGAATTTTTTTAGTTAAGCTTGAGTTAGGTTTCCCCAAATACTCAAGTGAACCAGGGTAATATTGTAATTGTTTTTTTTTTCCCTTGCATGTCTATTACTACTAGTACCATCATACATTTCATATACTTAGCAATAAATAACTTTTATAGTCATACTGGTGGTAACTAGGTGATATTTTCCTTTTCTACTTCCCCCTCCCCACTTGCTCTGCAGCAATGCTTTGTTTATCTAAGCCAAAGATACCTGTCAAGCCCCAAAAGACTGTGGGGTCTGCTCATCAAGAGGCTACCACTACTAGGACAGTTAGGGCAAAAGATTGGGACATGCTGAGTTTGAGACGCATGAAGAGATCAGCTTGTGTAGGCTGACTGACCCAGTTTGGCTCAGATGTGCCCTAATGAACTGAATGCTGTCAGCTGGACACCCAGCCTGATTCAGAGGTATTCTGTTCACCCGTGTGCTTGTGTCTGACTGTATTTTATGGTTACCTTAATGAACTGATTCCTGGCATATGAGGGGGTTAGCCTGTACACGCTGATCAACCTGGCTGGGTCAGGCGTGTCACGTTAATATGTGTGCGCGTGTGTGTGTGTGCGCGCACGCGCCTGTGCGCGTGCACACGTGTGTGTATTTGACTGATTTGGTGGCTGGAGGAACCCGGCCTCATTGAAACGAAGTCCTGCGAGATAGCTCCACTGGGGGGTGAGGACTTGCAGAAGGGAGAGATACAGCTCCATATAAAAAAACAAGTAACACAAACAGCACACTGCTAGAATTACAAAGACCCTAGAAACATACCCCTGATAAATGAGCACACCCCAAAGTGATGGGCAAATCTGGTAACACTATGTTTAAGTGAAGGGTAAGAAGTGAGTTTTTTCCCCAATCCACTTGGATAATCAAAAGGAAAGCACCAAAGTAATAGGGAATTTTTTTGGGGGGGAGGGCAGGGGCTGTTTCTTACTATGTACTTAATGCCATAGGGTACATAGCAATGCAATGCAGTCAGTGTACTCTGTAGTGTACATTGCAATGGAAACATGAAGAAATAAGTAGTGTAAAAAAATTTCAGCTGTCAAAGAGAAGTTGCTAATATATCTGCATGTTTTATGTATAATGAGAAAGAATAATTGATAACCTAATACCATGTTGACAGCAGAACGATGTATGTTAGTTTAATTTAAATACTGACCTACTTTTCCACTGTTTATAGTGAAAATCTACCATTTAAATTATTTCAATATATTAATATACATTGAGAATTGTGCATGTTGATCATTTAACTTCCAGAACAACAAAGGTTATAGAATTTCACCCAATAATTCATAATTGAAACTGGAACACCTATGCTCTAACTTTTATAGCAGTCATTGGTTATTGGCATTCCTTGCATGAAATACTGATGGTACTGACCTTGTATAGTTAATGGAAACTTTGTCTTTGTTGTCAAAGTGCGATAAGATTTGAGCCTATATTTCAAGGGTGGGCAATTATTTCAGCTGGAGGGCTGCTTAGTGAGTTTTGGTGAGCTGTCAAGGGCTGCAAGGGTAGCCCCGCCCCTTGACAGCTGCCTGCCCCCTGGTTGCCATCTTGGGACTGGAAGTTCTGCCCCTAACCCCTGAACTTTGCCACTGAAAGTCTCTCCCTTTGTTCCCAGAAGTACTCCTATCTTGGAACGAGAAAAAAACCAGATCATATATTAAAAGTCAAACACCTACTATAACATATTTTAATTGTATTACAAAAATATTTTTGTCATGATTTGTGTTTGTGTAGTGTATATAGAGGTGATTGTCCAATAACTCAAAAATAAAGTCTTACTTTTGTACATTGTGTGAGGAGGTGTGGGTATGTGTATGGTGAGGTGCAGGGGGCATGTGTGGTGTTTGTGAGAGGTTGTGGCTGTGTATGTGGGGGGCATAGGGTATATTGGGGGTATATATATGGGGAGGTTGTGGGAGCAGGATGTGGGTGTGAGGGACGGTGGGGGAGTGTGAGAACCCCTCCAAACACCCCCCCCCGGTGAACAGCCCCTGCTTCTGGCAGCATCAGTAGCAGCAGGTGGCAGGCGCTTGTGGTCTGTGCAGGTGCTGCTGCCCAGCGGCATGCATCTCCAGCCAGTGCTGCATGTGGTAGTAAGGAGTGCAGCCAGGTTGTCCCACTTCTATTGTGTGGGACTCCCCACAGCATATGTGCAGCTCCTGACACTTGCACACCACCAGGGAAGCCCTGCACAATGGAGCCAGCTGCCTTCCCTGCCCCCTGCCATACAAGTCCCATGACTCCACTGGAAGTGGATGGAAACCCTGCCCCCTGCTTCCCAGTAGGGTCCCAGGACCTGCATCGCATTGGGCTTTCCCCAGTGATGCGTGAGTACCAGGAGCTGCACGTGCACCATAGGGAGCCCCACATGATAGAGGTGGGCTGGCCTGGCTGCGCTCACTGCCACCACATGCAGTGCTGGCTGGAGCTGCACACCACTGGGCAGCAGCACCTGTGCAGGCCACGAGCAACCCAAGTGATCGCTGCCTGCTGTGCACCATGGAAGGGAGAGTGTGTGTGGGGGGGTCCCCCTACCCTTCCTCACACCCACAAGCTGCTAACCCAAGCTTCACATTCCCACCGTTCCCCTGGGTGCAGGCTCCATGCTCCCGCCCAGCCTGCTTCTCTACCTACTGTCCAGAGGGAGCTCTGCAGCAGGGAGGTGAGGATGAGGTATTAGACACTAGGGAAGCCAAGCAGGTTCCCCAGCAGCTGTTGCAGTGGCAGCAGCAGCCCTGCCCAGAAGCTGTGTGCTGGCTGGGCTAGGCCTTTCCATGCACAAGGGTAGGAGCCAGGCACGTGGGCTGGGCAGGGTACAATTAGTTGGTGGGTGCCCACAGGCCAGATGAAATTGCTTGGTGGGCCAGATTCGGCCCGTGGGCCATATTTTGCCCACCCCTCTATATCTAAATTGAGATCATCCAACTAGACTTCCTGCTGGGAAGTGTCAGGAACATGGTTGACATCAGTACCAGACTCAGTTTCAGAGTAAGAAGTAGTGGAAACAGTAGAAAGTCATTTAAAACTAAGCTGGTTTGAAAAAGTCTAGGGAGTCCTCTGCCTACCTTTAGATTTAGTTCACCG